CCTTCCGCTCGCACCCAACGCCCTGCCACCTTCACCAACAAACAAGTGGCCAACTTCTTCTTCCGGCCGTGCCGCGACAAGTACGACGAGGTTATTCTTGAGTACTTTCGCTGTCGGTGCGGTGCGGTCCAGAAGCGTTCCCCTGGCTCGGGATACACGAACCTGATGCAGCATATCAGGCGCGAGCACCCCACGTTTGCCGCCGAGATGCTGGCTGCAACTCCCGGAGAGACTGGGTCTCTCCTGCATTACGTCCGCCACTCCGCCCAGAACACGTTTGGGTTTGGGTGGCTGGAGTGGATCGTCATGGGCAACCTGCCCCTCTCATTCTGTGAGAACAGGCTTGCACGACGGTACGTTCAAAATTAACTATGTGTTAGTACTTTCTGACCAACTGACAAACATCCTATACAATTGGCGATATATTACCAGGTACACGAACCTGGAGCCCATCACGCTCCGTCGTTCCCTGGAAGCGGTGACACGCTCCGTCGAGCGTGCAATCGCTGTCGATCTACTGGAACGCTTCGGTATCATTTTTGACGGATGGAGCCATGCCTCGCAGCATTTTATCGCTGTTTTGGCTAGGTATGAGGTGGGCGAGGAAGTTCGTTGTCCTCTTCTCAGCATGGCTCCACTCGTAAATGAAAGGACCGACGATTTGTCGGCCGCAACGCATCAGGTCTTTTTAGACACGATGTTGTTGTGAGACTACAACAAGCGTCTAAATCAGTGTGTCTTCCTGGTAGGAGATAACTGCACCGCCAACCACCGGCTCGCCACCCTTATGGACATTCCGCGGATCGGCTGTGCTAGCCATCGCCTAAGCCGAGCGGTCGCTGCACAGCTGAAGGAGCATGCTGGTGATCTTGACTTAGTCCAGACCCTAATGTTGAAACTACGCACGTTAACACAATCCGCGAAACTACGGTACGTTCGTGATGTTTTGTGTAATTTTATATCAAATTTGTGAAAATGTATTTATTGATTTGTTTTAATGCTACAGATTAAAGACTAGTCTCCGACCAATCATTCGCCAGCAAACACGGTGGGGTTCCAATTTTGCGATGCTCAATCGATTTTTCGAGCTCCTCCCATTTCTGGACGCTGACGATGAAGAGTTCGCGTAGCTGCTGCCCTCGCTCGGGGTAAAGAGGCGTCTGAAGAACTTTCTTGGTGAGCTGAAGGAAGCTGAGTCCGTATCCAAGGCGCTACAGGGCGGTGACGTCAACCTGCTTGTACGAGTGTGCTTCGACGGTCTCATCGCGAAAAAAGAGTCGTATTCCACCTATCTAGGTACGTACGTGCATTTAGTGATATTTACTTTTATTTACAACTTATTGGCGTCAAATAATG